GAAACATGCCTTTATTGATCCAGTTTTTTCTTTCAGGTTTACAATTATAAAGTGTGTATATAATTAGTCCCAAGATATCTTATATGTATTATATTAACTCTGTTATTTACATAGATAGTATGTTAGTATATTGTCCAGGGTGCATTTATCAATATTAGTATATAGAGGTCTTAGTCAGAAGGCAGATGTTTTTTGTAGGTAACAGTAGTATATCTCTACACCAAAAATGAATTTTTTGCATTACATGTTCTTCAAAATTTGTGTGTAAAAAGTTGGGATGCTTTCCGTTGTTGTTATTAGTAATTTGCTGTTTGCTCTGTGCTGGTCATGCTGTGTTTTTAAAATGTCAGTATCATGGAAGTGCTGCATCATTGGAGTAGTGAATATAGGTTACTGTGGTGTTTGTACCAAAGTTTTTTTTTCTGGTACTTATCATTGGGAAATTTCTGTAAAGAACTAATGGTTGTTTGTGTTAATTATAATCAGTCATGGTGCTATTATCAAATATTGCTTTCCAGTTATGGTTTTGCCTTGTTTGGAAAAGGCTTTTGAATTTTGCTAAGGATAACAGAGGTGTTGTCTTCTCTTTTTTGGACATTGACCATACATTACCTGCTTTCACATCAACAAGACTGTGCAAACTCACTTTTATATAAATCTACATACACCTGCTTCTTTAATCACACTTACACTCGCGTTGACTTCATTTACATCAAAAGTAGAAATATTCCATAAATATCATATGGGTATTCTGTTATTTATGGTCTTCCAGTAGAGTCTGTGAGGGAATTGAAACAACACTTGGTTTGCAGAGTTTGTTGTGTTGCTCATGATGCCTAGTGGGTTCATCAAGAGCATCACAACAATCACATAGACCAGAACATGGGTATTAGGCTCATGTAAGCAGCCGCTGGGTGTGCTATGTTTAGGCCGGGCTAACACAAACACTCCTATGTGCTGACGGGACGTTATACCTGCCCTTTGCAGTGTTATTTTGCGTTTTTAGGTGTTTGTTATTTTCCAGTGTCCACATTTGTCTTTTGATTTCCTTTATCTTGCACAGATGCCATGTCATCTCTTTATGTAGTAAAACACTCAGTACAAGAAAAAAATGTATTTGTTATTTGTGTCATTTAAATTTTTTTTTCGTAATATTCAATTTTCTGTAATACAGCCAGTGCCCCAATCATAGCGGCCAGGAATAGGACACTGAGTATAAAAATTTGATCTCCTAGGAGCCAGTGCTCTTCCAGTCATGGCTCGCAGACATATTCAACACAAAAGCCCCTTTCTAAACACCAAATGAGTTTAATTACCTGCCAAGAGGTTTGTGCACTCCTGGCGAGTCATATCTGTCGCTCTGGTTTTCACGCATGATGACAAGGTCACATCACCCGGCTCACGGCCATTTTTATCCATGACGACATGTTAACGTCACCTGCCCCTGAAGCCAAATTTCTTAATGACGTTATGATCATGTCACCTGGAACAAAGGGGTTAATTTCACACTTTAAAATTTGGCTGTTCTTGTTTGTCTAGAATTTCCCCTTTTTTAGCAAGTGTTTCCCCGTGAAGTGTTTGATTTTTCATATATTATACTTATTTTGGGTGCTGTGTTTGTATGTTGCTCTAGCAAGATAATTCTGCTTTGACTGTCATTTTAATTGTTGTCCAAATGTACTTCATTTATAATCTTCATTATAACATCCTTTATACTTATTCTTCCTTTGTGTGGGTATGTTTTTTTTCCTTTAAACTTTAGCTGTGGTTAGGTTACTGTTACTTTTTAAGTTAATTTTTAAAAAGTAGTACTGCTTTCTTCTCTGTTTCTAAAGCCTACCAGTGAGACCTTTTCATAAATCGATGCCTCTCATTTTGATGTCACGTCACCTCCACCCTATTTCTTCTCTTTTCTGAAATATGTAGCAGTTATCTATCCTCACACTAACTCTTCTCCAGTGAACTCATTTTTAACCCAACGGTGCTGGGGAATTGCATTGTCTATTGTTGTGACCTTTATTGCTTAGCCACCAAAGGGTAATCATTAAGCCTAAGTGTTCTTAGGTAATTCCCATTTCCTTGAGTTTACAAAAAACATTTTTTTCTCTCAAGCTCTTGATATTGATGATGTTATTATTATTATTAACATTATAATCATTATAATGTTATTACCAATAATAATAACAATAAAGGATAAAAAAGAATCATTCTGAATATCAACAAGGTGAGGTTGGTACAACTAGTAATTGTCTCCTTGGTGAATAAGTACTTGTGGAGCCTTCTATGCGTAAAGGCAAGTAATAACAAAAAGACAAAGGACTTGGCACGCATTCTTGCCATCCCGTCAATGTTGGGTTAATGTTCTAATTCCTCTCACCAAACCCATGGCCTATATATCTATCATTCTGGAAACATTATTTTTGACCAGTTTTATTAGATTCATTAACTTTTACATGATGTTTTCTTCTTCTCAAGTGGTTTGGAGGGTTTCTCTTATAGTTCATCCGTCCTTTTCTGCGCATTCTTCTTATGATGCTCGTTTTTGTCTTTCATATTTCTATGTTGGAAAAGCTTCTTTTTTATGTAGATGACCATTGCTGTCAATGATTATATCATAGCTACTGTTTACACATGTCACACATATTCATGGTCTTTACTGTGCATACCTTCTTTGAGACTTCTGTCCTGTTCCTACACCTTTTCTTACTTTTATACTATGAATACACCTTTTCTTATGGTTTATGAGCTATAGTTATTTTCTCTGACAACACTGATCTCTTTTTCTTGATGTTTGTGTTAACACCATGCTTATGTTTACTAGAAGCATTTGATTTTTTAAATCCACTCTCTAACTTTACTTTTTTATTAGTTGCCCTCATACTTGTACCCCCATTTTTTGTGTCCTCCTGTCCGTCTCTATACTATCCCTAAAATATGTTCCCCCTCTTTCATTTCTGCTATTCCTGAATCCATTGCCTGTGTTGGGCTGCCTTTGGTGTGGTGGTGCTACTGCTGGTGTGTGTCCTCTCCTGGGGTCTGTGTGTGTGGACAGGGTGGGGAGCTTTGGGAGCTTGAGTGGTCGGTGTTCACCACGCTGCTCCCCCCTTCTGGGACGCTCCCCACGCTTCCATCGGCGCACAGCTTCAGATGCCTCCTCTGCCTCTCTTCAGCGGCGGCGTTCGTCTCCCACTCCGTACGTACACACAGCATGATGCACACACCACCCTCTTGCCATCCATCTCCAAACATAACACACAGTGCTTATATAGATGGTATTGTTGTGACTTTTACCATCATTTTTATTTTGCTTGTGGTTCACCTCTTAGTTTGTTTTTTGTGAAATTATTACTGGAGTAGAAGTATGATGAAACGTACAGTATATCAGATGTGAGTATATTGTAAGCACCAAATTGAATGTAACCCTTTTTTTGTAAAAATGTATATAAGTTTTTGATGTTCATAAGCTTGAGAAGTGATACTGAACACCAGAAATAAAAATGTAACTATGAATGTGATATATTTATATAGGCATTAAAATCTGATGATGGGTTTGTAATTATACATTTAGTCTGTGCATGGAGGTTAAATGCAAAAGCTTCTGAGAAAGGAAGTGTTGTCTTTTATTTGTGGTAAGAATATAATCACATATTATTTTGATATGTTAGATAAGATTTTTTGTCATTAATTTTAGTAAGTATTATTTTACTGTATAAACAGAAAGGTTGAGACAGTATCTGTAACACTTGAGAAAATTGTAAGAGCTTGTCTTATTATTCTTATGTAGTGATAGTTAGAATGGATTTTTTTGTAGAATATATTAGAATAGAATGAAATGTAGCATTTGCCTTTGTAGTCCTTTTTTGTGCTTTTTAGATATAATTTTTTGAGCACCAAGTACCTAGTACATGTATTGGTACAATGTCTCTTTTTCTGTGTAATGAATGTTTTAGTTGTCACTGGTAAAAAAATCAATATGTTTAGATGCTTCCATAGAGTCTTATGAATTTTTTCAATTGGTACCATTGGAGTCAAGCAAGCAGAGAAATAATGACATGAAACATTTTTAGGTTTTGGAAGTAAGTATGAATAAGGTACTTTCTAACAAAGTTTGTATTCTCTTATCGTTGTGTTCTAGTTATCTTAATCAGCAAGCATTATAAGAAAACTTCCTACTTTCAGCACACGCCTAGGGTCACCTTCATTGCGATCATCATCACCTTCTTTGAGGATCCGCACAGCACCACATTCTCCAACCCCAGGAACAACCCAGGGAGTTAGTGGAACTCCTCCAAGTAGCAGTGCTGTCCAGCCATTAGTTCCTTCCTCACCAGCAGCTGTTGCAGCTAGCCATTGTTTGCCTGATGTGGCAGGGACGACAAGTTCCAAGTCATCATCACTTGCATCTGAGACTCCTGTTTCTACTCCGACCCCACCGCCACATTCCTCACGCATTGGTAAGTCAGTGTAGTATCTTAGCAGATGAATGTTGTTGGATTATATGAATCTTTGCTTCTGTAAAAATCTTGATTAGTGGGATAGTTCAAATAGTTGTAATTCAGAATTAGGCTTTGAGATGTACAATTTTAGAGTCTAAAACTTGGATATTCTGATGTTTTTTTGGACAGATTTTTGTAATAGAATTCATGTGTTTTTTTTTTTTTTTTTTTTTTAACATAAAAAACTTTTTATTCTGTTAACAGGTGTTACTGGGTATGACTCTGAAGTGAGTGATGATGATGAAGCAGGTGGCGACGGTGACCTTGGTGAAGTTGGTGATGGACAAAGGTCTGTCATCATGCACATCATATCTCAGCTGCGACTTGGAATGGACCTCACACGTGTCACACTGCCAACATTTATTTTGGAGCGTCGTTCCCTGCTGGAAATGTTTGCAGACTTTTTGGGACATCCTGACTATTTTGCTAAGTAATAAGCACATGTTTTTTTAACCAGTTGATTAATAGGGTTGATGTATATATTTTTACTGAGAGGATTTACAACTGCTGTTGGAACATAAATGAGATGCTTATTTGGGTTTGGTACAATGGAAGGGATATTTGCAAAAGCTTAGTATTTATTTTTTCTTGATAGGGGACTTTGTAGTAATAGTAACATGTACTTTCAGAATTGCTGATGCAACAACACCAGAAGATCGCATGCAGGCAGTGGTTAAATGGTATTTAACAAGCATTCATGTTGGACGAAATGGATCTGTTGCTAAGAAGCCTTACAATCCTATTATTGGGGAGACATTCCATTGTAACTGGCGAATTCCAAGGGATTCCATCCATGGGGAAGTAAGTGTTCTGGTTAGGAAGAAATTAATAGAAACTATCCAGCAAAACTCTTTATTTTGATTTTGTTATCTGTACATTAATGCACTCAGTCATTTTAGTTAAACTTTTGTGTAAACATTTCTCTTAATTTCTGCATGTAAACTTACCACAGTGCGAATTTACAAAGGAACAACTTCATTTGTCTTTAAGTAGCATGGTACTACATGAGATGTGAAAAGGTAAACTTATGTTATGGGACTCATAAATTCACCTTATTGGTAAAGATATTGGAAAAGAAAACAGGTACAGGAATTTGTAGAGGAAAGACAGTACCGATCTTATTCGTTTGTATTGAATGCTATTTTGGCAAGAATTTGTTTTAACGGTTGCTCTTATGGAAAGGTGATACTTTATTATCTTCGTTACTGTTCATCATTAATTTTGTATGAGATATAATGTTATTTTTCATATTTTCCAAAGGAGATAGGGGAGACTGGGAATGGAAAGCTACTGATGGAAAGAAGTCCCCCTTTGTCAACATCAAATATGCAGCTGAGCAAGTGTCTCATCATCCACCAGGTTTGTTACTTGTTTTGTTGAGATAACATGGTGATGATTCAGATAGTAGTAGGTTTGCAATTATTTTTTTGTGTTTGTGTTATGGTAATTTTGATTTTTTTCCTCTCTCTCTCTTACTCTTTACAGTGTCTGCTTTCTTTTTTGAGTGTCCGGAGAAGCAGCTAAGTATAAACGCTCACATCTGGACTAAGTCAAAGTTTATGGGTATGTCTGTTGGAGTTAATTTGATTGGAGACATTACCCTCATCATAGGCAATGTCCGTGAAAGCTATAGTCTTGCCATGCCATCTGCATATGCAAGAAGCATACTGACTGATCCATGGGTTGAACTTGGAGGTCGGGTAAACATTTCTTCACCTGAGACAGGCTGTCAGGCTGCTATTGTCTTCCACACTAAAGTAAGTTTTGATATGAATTGCTGTTGATATTATTATATATATGGATGAAATATTTTGAAAGAAGATTCATAGTTTTAATCTTAATCTATTGTAGTAAAAAGGAAAATTTTTAGTATATAGATAAAGATTTATATATATCTATTTTTAACGTAACCTATTTCAGCCATTTTACGGAGGACGTCTACACAGGGTGACAGCCGAAGTGAAAAACGCAGCTGGAACTACTCTGACCAAAGTACAGGGAGAATGGGATTCACAGCTGGAATTCACTTATGCTAATGGATCTCAGGAGGTATTGTGAAGATCTCTTTTGGTTTAATGTGTATTTGTAGATAATAGGAGATGACTAGAATAATCTGATGTCATTCATCTATTTTTCTCTAAGTTTCATCATTGAAATAGGAAAATTATTTTTGTCTCAACAAAATGGTATAAAGGCATAATATCATAGAGTAAGTTCACAATTTCAAATTGGTCCAAACACATTTATGATCTGTTGCATACCAACTTTCATCATAATTTATGGCAAGAGTAAGCAAGAAAGTGATTGCTTCATGCTTAAAATAAAAAAACATTTATGTATTTTCAGGTTGTGGACGTAAATGACATACCAATTGTTTGTCACAAACGCTTAAAGCCTTTGGCGCAGCAATCTCCAATGGAATCTCGCCGTCTGTGGCACGACGTAAGTGTAGCCCTTGCTCGTGGTGATGTCGAAACAGCCACAAGCCACAAGAGGGCTCTAGAAGAGCAGCAACGGAAGGAAACGAGAGCGTGCTGCCCAAAATGTGCCATTCCCAACACGACTATTCCATTCTCCAACTTCTGATCATTGGGTGTACAACCAGCTTCCAGCGTATTCGTTTACTTCCTGCCCAGCATCAGTCCAGCCTCAGTAACAACATGCTGTTTATGCTTGTTATTTTACCATTCTATTTTTTTTATTTTTACTCCATACCATGCCAAAGATTTTAGAACGAGGATGTATAAATTTCTTGTTAATCTCTGAAAAGAATATGGTCTATTTTCCTAACAAAGTTGAAAATTCTTCTAATTAGGAATAGATTTTCTTAGATTTTCTTCGGGATAAATGATTTTCGGATTTAACATTAACAAAATTTTGTGAACTTTAAGTAGCAGTAGCTTGAGATTTCCAGTTACTCTTCCTGTAATTTTTGCTTCTGCATTTGGAATTTCACACTTACTTAGAAAACATGTTTAAAGTCATACTATTTTTTCCACGCTCTCTCTTCTCCTCTCCCATTTCCTCTTCCTCTTCTCCTCTCTCCTTCCTTTTGCTGTTATTCCCTATCCTTTCCATCTTTATGCCTCTGGTACCCATTCTCCATTTCTTCCCCTCTTTTTGCCTCCCTTTGCTTACTCTTCCCTTCTTTCCTCTTTCCCTCCCAACTCTTGCTCTCCTCTCCTCTCCATTCCAACAAACTGCTATAGAGTCACAGGTGCACATTTATAGATATCTTATCTGTATATCCACTTGAATTCATCAGTCATACATATGTGGCCACATGTGATAAAAGTAGGCTAGAAAGATGAATGAGAATTGGAAGATCTGAATATTCTATAGAGCTTAGAGTTTCTGACCAGTAGTTCCTAGTCAAAATACAAACTGGATTAAACACTTGCTTTACATTTTGGTGACTACAAGCCACATTCAGCTGTAGAGAACCTGGTCAAGCAATGCCGCTTTTCTGCTGAACATTATTACCGTCCAATAAAGATACAGGCATGTAGCATTGAATGTAAAATTTCCATATATTTTCAGTTATAAAAGATAGTAATGGCAGCTCATTTTGGCAAGATAAGATCTTCATTGTCTTTATTAACTAATATAAATGTCAACATCCATTTTAACAATGTAAGGCAGGCAAGGAAAAATCTTTCAGTGAAAGCAAATGAGAATATTTATTGGAGTTCTGATGTTATTTACTGGGTTGGTGCTTCAGATAATGAATTTTTCGAATTTGTTTTAATCTTATAGTTTGATGAGATGGGATTTGATTGGTGGTGGTGAGTGTAATGCATAGCACATTATCTTCTAATTAAGATTTTTTCTTCCTGATTTCACAATATTAGCCACTGACTCTTTCTTCGTAATGTCAACAAGATTTATCTTCTCTTTGTGAAGTACACTTATTTAACTTCTCAGTCACAATTGCAGTATTATTTTGTAGTACTTTTTTGATGTTGTAATCTTGAAAGAAACTGGGAAAGGCTGTGGTGAATGCAAGTGAAATGTCAAGAAAACTTAGACTAATTTGCCTATTCATATTTTGTATTTTCACCTTTTTGCATTGACATTTTTAGTAATTTCCATAGAGATATAGTACTAATTCAGATATGATAGAGAGATCACACATGTCCTAAGTGAATGTGTATCTAGCAAACTTAGTGTATGAAAAAAGCATTCTTTTTTTTTTGTGTGTGTGTGTATTAAAAAAAATATTGAAGCCAGTGATTACGAATTTGCAAGAATTTCAGTGAGGATCCATATTAGTATAAACTTTGATCAAAAATGGATTATTCTGTACAAAATATACAGTTAATGGATGAATAAAGATCAGAAGACTGGAAAATGTGGCTGGAAAGGTTTGGCAAAAGAGGATTCATTGTGATTGATATCTGCATAGAAGACAGACTTTTAGGATATTTGGCTTCAAGGAAAAGCTGAGCAGAAATGAATGAATACAAAGCTGTCATTATTACAGTGTACTGGACTGAGCTCTCATTATTATTTAGAATACAATAAAGTTTCAACAAATATCTGATGCATACTCGTGTAGGAAATGTATGAATGAGAAGTGCATACAGGGGTGTATGTACTTCTGAATATATAACTCAGAAGTGTGAAGATTTTAACTGTCATTCATACCTTTTCTGCATTTGCCGCAATCAACTCTGTTTATGCATATTCTTGTGTGTTGTGGGCAAATACGACACTGATGTAAATTAGATTTAGATAAATTGAAATTGTTAATTGAATGAAGGTGCTACTTTGCATTGATTTTGTTTAACAGATTATTCATGTTAGATTGATACTACATTCTTTATTTGCATTTAAGTAGAATATAAATAAGTATGAGATGTTTGGTTGTGAGGGAACTAAAATGATTGATAGAATAGTGTGTATATAAAGTGGGCAGTGCCTCATAGAAATAAAGATGCGACTTTGATCATTATTGAATGAAAAGGAGTGTTTTTTCATGCCATTATGTTTAAGGAACTGCATCCTAGATGTTGAGCTCTGAGCATTTTTAAAATAACTATATTTTATTTGTTATTTAGTTATTTTTGTGTACCATGAATATGCTTTGTTTACATTTTTTGAAGTGTTGCTCAGATATTAGTAGAGATATTTGCTTAGATTATATTATATTATGATTTTGTCAGTTTAACAATATTTGTTTGTTTTTAAGATTGTTGTTATGATGATATAAATACCCGTAAGTGGGATGTCCTCCCTCTTGACATTTAAATTATATAATGTAAAAAAAAAAAATCTTACTGAGACACTTGTATATATAAAATGATTAATAGATGTACCAAATATATGCAAAGGGACAAAAGCAATTATGAAAATTCAGATTTCGTGTGTAATAATACCGTTATTATTTTTATCTTAGCATTTAACGCTCAGTAAGGTAAATTTCCTTAGTGAAGTCCAGGGATATACTTAATAAGTAACTGCATTATTGTGAAATTTGTAACTATCAAGAAAAAAAACATTTGAAATTGTTGTTTTGATACACTAATGTATTAGAATTTCTGGTCTGTACTTTCAGAAATTGTTAAAAAAACTTTCGGCCAGTTTGTTAAAATTGTGCGAGGCCCGACCCAATGAATATTCATGAATACGAACATGCTTATTCACGAAGTACATGCATATTTGTTTATTTATCTGATAGATATACATTTTCCTATCTATCTATCCAGTAGATAAGCATGTTGTTACTGATAGATCTGTAAATATTTCTGTGTATATGCATGTCTAAATAATGAAAATTCATTGTCAGGCATTGCACAATTTCAGCAAATCAGCTGTTTAACACAAGTTACTGAGCAGTTGGTAATGAATATTTTTGCTTGAAAGAACTGCAATAGAGATTATGATATTGTAATTGTATTTGAGATGTGAAATATGATTATTATGTGATATGTATGCATGCATGTGATTTGCTAAATATTTTTTGTTTTTTTGTTAAGTGTCAAGAGATGCCTTTGAAATTACCTGTAGCAATAGTTTGTATTGTATTATTGACCATAATCCAGTTGATGAAAAAGTGGTCATACTTGACCACTCTTAATATTACATTTCTTTCATGTCTTATCAGGTTGTTTTATTCTGCATCTCTGAAGATTTAGTTAAGTGAAGCATATATTTATATTCCTCCTTGCAAGTTTGATGTATGTTATTTTCTTGAAATAGTACAATTAAATAAAATGATACTCACAATTACTCACAGACAGCATTCATTCCCTTTTTACTGCATTCCCATATTCATATATTTAACACTCTAGTACCATGATTCTTATCTTTCCCTTGCTCTCTCTATATCATTTAAACTTTGTCCTGTTTGCAGTAAAAATGGAGATCACTGATGATTATCACAAAGAATATAGTAATATTTACTTGTGTTTGGTAAAGAAGAGGTAATCACACATAGTAAAATTGTTTTTTAATTCTTTTTCCTCCTAGTGGAATATGCTAAATTTAATTATATGTTTAAATAGATTGTTGGAGATGAAGCACAAATATGAATGAAGAAACAAGTACTCTTCCAGATATACCTCATATACGATGTAACAGCAATTATGTTCTTCTATTGAGCTTGAAAAATTTACTTGCTGTCGCATTGGTACTTGAAATAGTCATAACAGGGTCTGTGGAGAACTTTTAAGTAATCACTCGTCTCCTGCCTGGGCTTTGTTATTTACTACCATAAGAAATAGTGTTATGTGAGGTACTCGTACACTGCCAGGCTGTCATTGCATTTCTCGTATTACCATGAAAAGTTATTGAAAAGTTACTAGGTTTTTGATGCCAAGGAATGGATTAATATCTGCATGGTATTTCTAAATATTTTGAAATGTTGCAAAGGGACAGGTATACTGTATACCAAAATAATTTTAAGCATCTAAAGGTGATTATGAAAATTAGGCAAAATCAGCTGTATGACCTTTATGGAAACTGCAAAGGGTCAAATTTTTATTGTGTAGGTGAAGAGATTGGATAGTTCTAAATCGATTTTTTATTGTGCTTGCAGCTTTAAGTGAAAAGTTTAAGATACAAAGATCATATATTTTGCTAAAGTTCAGATGAAATGTAGAATAAGAAATATTAAAGAGAACTTTGTTGCACATATTTTTTTTTATATTTCTTTGTGCATTATTAGTATTAACATTCAATTAAAATCAATACATAACTCTCTGGGTTTTCACAGCATCATACTTTACCCTAGCTCTGATATTCATACAGTTGGTGAAATTGTTTCCTTTGATTGCTTAGAAGCTTCGTCCATGGAATTATCAACTAGAAAAGTAGTAATGTGTCTTTCCTTACATTTTAGAGGTCCTTCTGCATTTCATATCTTTCAAATTTAACACCATTTTTGTGTCCTGTTTTCCCCTTTTCTCTCTCTCTCTCTCTACATGCTGTGTAGTATAGCATATATCATACATCTTCTGTTAAGCATAGCTGCATGTTAAAACATTTTTCACAAGCATATTCCTACTTAGGTATATGTTCATGAAGCTTAATAAAATATCCTAATAACCACCTTTAGTTTACTTTATCTTTGATATATATGAGCAAATTTATCTGCCGTCTCTTGAGTCTTATAGTCTGAAAGTTTTTCAAATACAGTCTAGAATTTTGAATTTGATTTAGTATTTGCTTTTCATTAGTTTCTCCAATTTTTAAACTATATTAAAGTTTAAAAAATTGTTTCAAAGGATATTTTTTTATTCAAAGGAAAATATTTATTTCAAGAGACCTGCAATATCTTGAACAAATGAAGTAATGTTAAAGGAGAAGTGAAGCAAATTATGGACGAGTTATTACTTTATTACGTGGAGATATACAAGTGGTATCAATACCAATGTTCACATTCTTGACGAAAAAACCCTGGCTATAAAATACCTACTGCATTTCTATTTGGTTCGTTGTGGTTTAGCTTTAAAATGCCTTTAATTTTTTACTTCTTTTCTCACGTTGGAAGTTCCAGAAGTTAGAAGTTCGTGACGCCGGTATGCCAATAGTGATGCATGCGGGTCTCCAGCTCAAGTGAATCCAAAGCTGGTCGCTCCTGCATTTCTGTCGCCAGGTCGGGTTGAACTAACGGGTAATGAGAGGTCTCGGGCGGTTCTGTTGATAGTACTTGAGATTCTGTAAGCTCCCAAATCGGCGGAAATTACTCTCGTTTTTGGAGGCGTTGCTTCTAAATCGTTGCAAGGTGCTAAATTTACTCGTCGTGGCACTCAATTTGCTCTGGATGAGACGGAAGGTTCCTCGACCCAAGCGGGACTTGCGGATGGGGTTGCGCTGGAAGTGAGTGGTCGCGTCGGGTTCCGCAGTCGACGCCGTGACCAGGTCGGGAGCGGACGCGGTCGGAAGGGGACTACAGCGTGAATTCGACCGGGTCAGGGTGTCCAGTTCACGCATGAAGAGGAGCTTGGCGTTGCGGGCCAGAAGATACTCCCAACTGCGGAACTGCTCCTCCGTAACCTGGCGAGATAGTGAGCGGATGAACAATTTGAAAATGTGTGATATATTTTAAGATTAGTAAATGTGTCATATATTTAAAGATTAGTAAATGTGTGATATGTTTAAAGACTAGTAAATATGTCAGATGTTTAAAAAATAGTAAATGTGTGATATATTTAAGGATTAAGGATAATATAGTTATATTAGTAGCAATTTGTGAACACTAATGATACTACTGCAATGATAAATAACGACAGAAAATAACAAAAACAATCAAATGTAAATGGCGGTTTGACGATGATAATTATAGCAATGAAAATTATAGTAATGGCAATAATAATAATAGTGCTATATGACCCCTGATGTCTAGTACATTTATTGGTTAAACGCATTAACCATTAATAATAATAATGATGATGATGATGACGATAAAATAATTATAATAATAATAATAACTAATGATGATGATGGCAATAATAATAATAATAATAACTAATGATGATGATGCCAATAATAATAATAGTAATAATGATAATAATAATAACAATAATAGTAATAATAATAACAATAATAATAGCTAATAATAATAATAATAATAACAATAAATAATAATAATAATAATAATAATAATAATAATAATAATAACAATAATAATAATAGCAATAACAGTACTACTACTACTACTACTACTACTACTACTACTACTAAAAATAATAACAACAATAATAATAATAATTATAACAATAATAATTAATAATAATGATAATGAAACTACTACTACTATTATTATTAATAATAATAATAATAATATAATAATAATAAATAAGTAACAGCAATATCACGAAGAAGAAGAATAGCAATATCAAAAAATATATGATAAGGCACAATAATAATATTACCAGTACATTAATAATACTACAACTGTACTGCTGTTGCTACTACTAATAATATTCATAATCAATTATTATTACTATTATTACTTTTATTAATACTACTAATACTACTGCTACAATAATAATGATAATGATGATGATGATGATTATATTAACAATACGAACAGTAATAATAACAATAATAATTTTGATAATGATAACGGTGATGAATATGAATATGATGATGAATATAATGATAATGATGATGAATATGATGATGATGATGATATTAACAATTGTAACAATAACAATAGTAATTTTGATAATGATAACGGGGATGAATATGAATATGATGATGATGATGATAACAATGGAGACAAGAAGAGGTTAACTAATTACAAAACTAATTATATCAACATAGATATAAAAAACTGCATATAGAAATTCAAATATTAATCTACAATAACAGTGAAAAATACATAAACGTTCACTTTCGTCGCAAATGTCCTCTGATGATGCAGGCCTTTTCCCCTACAATGAAAAGGCGTCGAGTGTATCCTACCTGTTCAGGATCGTTCCCTAGGATATTATCCTCGGACTGAGCGTGCTGCAAGGGACTCGTCCGCTGGTGTCCTCCGCTCACGCCACTGAGCCCGCTATCACTGTCCTCCGAGTCGCTTCCGGTGTCAGCGAAGCCAGCAGGGGGCGCTAGAACGCCGTCGTCGAGGTCAGTGTTCCCCATGCCGAGCAGGTGGGACGCCAGGTGGTTCTGGGGAGAGGGCTGCGAAGGGTCTGGTCGAGGGTAGTGGTAGTAGGTGACTGCTTGCTGGACGGTGTTCGTCTTCGCGGGTCTGGCTTCGATCCCGACTCGGTTTTGGGTCCCGTTTCCCGTTTTCTTCGGTTGGGTTTGGCGTAAAGGTCCTCGAGGTTGGGTCGCAACGCTCGGGGTTTGGGAGGGACTAGGGATTCAGGCGGTTTGGGTCTGGTGTTGGGTTTCTGGATGTCGGAGTCGTGTTCGCTGTGGTCGCTTTGGCTTTGTCCGCTGGGCGACGAGCGGTCCATGTCTTCGATGTTTTCCACGAGATTCCTCTCTGAGCGGCTCTTCGTCTTCAGCACAGCACTGACCACCCGGCTTTTATTCGCGTCGTGACGTAGGGGCGAACTCGTGCTTTTTTTACTATGACTGCTCGACCTCAGTTTCCTTCTGTGGTCATCGTTTTCTACCGTGCTGGTGGACACGTCTACAGCACTCGTTTTTCTGTTGAGCTGCATTCGGTTGACCAGAGCATCTTATCCACAGAATTCCGTCTGTGGAGCGCACCGTCAGTACTGAGTAATTCAACACTTTTGGACTTTGATCTACTTGAGCTTAACTGCGCGCTCTCTACGGCCGAGCGTCCCTGCCACTTGTGGTGCGCTGGCAGCGCACGACGATGACACTAAGGGCCTGGCGGGTGCCGTATCCCTGTGCCAGGTCCAGCAGTTGGCTGCTTTGCCTGGATCGGTCATCTCACTGCACACGTTCGCCACTTCATCTGTCCCGATAACGTCCCAAAAACTGGAATAAGAGAAAGTATTTCTTAGATTATGATTACTTTACCTATGTCGGTTTCATTGCCATATTTAAGTTTATTGAATGACTGAACCCGCCCACAATAATACCTGATATTCTGTCAAGAGTTGATAATATTATGGGTTGTATTTACTGAACCATATACAAAATCAGTTGAGTAGGTCAGGTAATATATCTTTATATTGTATATTTTAATTGGATAGAATCAACTGAATTGAATCAATCGGTTGAATAGATCAGGTAATACATCTTTTATATTGCATATTCCAACGAATCTTCTCTTTCGCTTTGACCTACAACAGAGTCCACTGCCTCACCTCGCACTCCCAATCACAACAGCGGTGTGATGTGGCCCCAGGTACAACTCTGTCGTGTGTGGATCGGGCAAAGTGACGGGCTCACCCAACGCACACTTCACGCCGTCATCACAGCTTCTTACACAGTTCTGAGGGAATGTGACGTCTAATTAGTGAAAGCTTGGCCAAACTGCGAGGTAATCTTGGTTCGGAGTTACGAAGTACAAGATAAATGTTTTTTCTTTCTTTCTTTCTTTTTTGTGTCTAAGAGGACCCACCTGTTGCGTTCGAGGAGACGATGTTGTGACGAAAATGGGTTCCCCGTGCGTCGTCGTCACAGCGGCAGAAACAGCACCGTAACAGCAGAGGCGGAGGACAGGGCATCGGGAAGACTCGACGCCCTCGAGTTCTAAGTGAGCGGCACACACTGCACTAGGTAAGGGAGCTCCCTGGGACCGCAGTCGTCTATAATAAGACAATCATTAACATCCTCGCAACATAAACTAACAATAACATTTTACAAAAAAAATACTGCATGGAGAATAAGAAAATCGAAAATTCACTTCAACAGCGTAACTGAAAAGAGAGAAAATTACCTCAGGGCGGTAAGAAGCGCATATTTAAGAGCATAAGTGTGCGAGCGAGAACAAGCTCTTTCCTCCTGGAGTAACGCGGGGAGTGCGGTCAGGAGGCTTCCGACGCACCCTACTTCTTGGCCTCCGTCTGCCAAGGCCGCGACACCGACACGCCCTTCGCCCGCTATATCTGGCACCCTCAGCTGGCCTACAGTCAACCTGAAATAAATGCAAAACACTAAAGAAATCCTATCGAACACATGTCATTTCGGAAACACGTCTGTACCAATACAACTTTTTAGACACAATGGCTTTACGATATAGCTTTACTTACTTTGAGTCTCTGCCAATGGTTTCAGCGAAGCCTAACGTCCAGGGCAGCTTGGGGAAAGCGTCGCCCTTTCCTCTGAAGCCTGGGTCTTGGGACGACGCGAGCTGAGAGGCGTGGGGCTTGGTTAAGGGCAGGGACCGCCCGGAACGACTGGTGACATCGACTACGTTTACTGGCCGTCGAGACCTGTTGAGTGAGTTTGGCTTTAGTGGCTTATAACATGGGTATTAAACGGTCACGTGGCTTTATTTGTAGGTATTTACAATATGTACACACGCACAAACACATACATACACAGATACATATGTATATATGTACCCATACATATGCAGTATTGGTGACTCAAACCTACTTGCACTTTGTAAACTGATGGTGGTCGAGGGAAAGCGCTGTGTTGGCCGAGATGTCGAGCGCCACCAGCCCCGGCGAGACCAGCTCCTCCAGTTCGACTCGACCCAGCTGGCAGTGAGACGCGTCCACTACCTGCGTCGTGTAAAATGTCATATAATAGGAGAGGACCACAAAAAGTGAAAATTCTTACGGAAGCTGCGGGTCTTGACATGTATGAAGGCGCGGAGAGGGTAAATGTGCCTCGGGACAGTCAAATAAACTAACCTTCAGAGCAGAGAGGTGAGCCAGGCGGGGAAGGCAACGCAGAGGGTTAGAATGGACTTTTAGGACTCGAAGACGGCGCAGACGGGACACACCAGCTGGCACATTCGTCAAGACGTTCCCTGACAGTACTAGCTCCTCCAGTAACTCCCAAGACCATATCAACCTGGATGTATCACAACCGTAAATCGATAAACTTCACTGCTCATTATTTCATAAATTTCTCATACAAACTGAGGCCAGCTGAAGACCTTGATGTAATCGTCTGGACATTAATTACCCAAGGGATGAACTACACGTGCGTAAATGCAAAACAAGTGATATTTTCCCCGATCTGAGGAATATCTTAATTCTATATAAAAATATGCCTTTCGTCATGGATGCTAAATGATTGCTTCAAAGATCAATTGAACAAATATACTCTCAGAATAGCCCTGGCAATGGTACCGACCTATCCTGTAAGCTTGCTATTCTATTGTATGGCGCGTGGAGGATGCGTAGAGCTCTACAGTGCTGTAGAGGAGTGAGATCCCGGAGTCTATTAGCTGCTGCATAGACTTCCTGGAGCGGGAAGCTGGTCTGAGGGCCCGTCTCGTCTCGGGCATCTGGCGACCCGCGTCCTCGTCGTCCTTCAGGGGACGGCAGAGCTGACAGCTGGTTGGCGCTCACGTTCAGAACTCGTAATCTGAAATTAAGTCGTTGTGCATGTAAAGAAAGGATATACAACCTTTCTAACTGCAAAACACCGATGCACTAGCCGAACACCGGCTATAATTTACCTGCTAAGCCAAGTGAAGAGACAGCTGGGCAGAGACGTGAGGCGGTTGTGGTGTAGCAAAAGCACCTCGAGTGAACACCACTTCGGTTCTTCGTGTGGGTTGGCGGACGAGCTCTGAGCTTGGCCTTGTTCTCGGCCGTGATGCTGCGATCGGTACGGCGTGGAAGAGGAACTGTGGGCTACGTTGGGGTACGAGTGGTTACTGGGTAGCTCAGACATTGCGCGTTGGGGAACCATGAAGCTGGAGAGATGGTTGTGGTGAGCAGAGAGGGTGTGGAGGCGACGCAGGTGCCCCGAAGTGAGGAAAGCAGGCAGCGACGCGAGGTTGTTGTGGCTCACGTCCACCAGTGTGACTTCTGTACTCGAAACTAGCCATGGCGGCACAGCTGATAACTCGTTCCTGAAGACATGGGGGGAAAAAAGTTTACAAGGGAACTACAGTCGTCTGTGAAAGAATTGTCTTCGTTAATTAGGGACACATTTTAGGGTATATAACCATACTATCAACACGGTAGAGTATTTGCCATTCACCTTCAATACTATATTAACACTCAGAAATGAATTACCAGCCCTTAGAAAATATAACATGATACCACACTGATATAGGCCGGATTCACTAACATACAATCGTAACGCATTTACCAGCGGTCATTTACCACTGCGTTTACCAGTCATGGCAAACTGGGATTCATGAAGAAATGGTAATTTGGATATGCTGAGTTACAATCGTAAATCGACTCATTCTAATGGTAGCCAACAGATGGCTCTGGTAAAGCACTTCAACCAATAAGCGAGCGCTATACATAATCTTTTAGGTTCCTTCGGCCAATCACGTAACATGTAAACAGAACTAGATACAGCGAGATTGTTTAAATAATCGTCAGAGCCAAAACATTATTTCAGCATGTTGAAAAATGAATATATTTATTTGATTATATCCATTATGGATATATATTTACTGTATAGATAGGAACCAATACAAACACAGTTCTATTCATATATTATTGTTAACTCCAAACAAAGAGACAGTCCAAACAGCTTTTTATTATTTATTTTTCATCATTGTTAAGCAAAACACCGGACCAAACAAAATTTTTATTCATCGCCATTTGTGGTCAAAGGAAATATCTCAAGATTATTCTTGCCCATGCACTTTGGAGTCTCTTGTCAAAATGCCGAGACACAGATATTGCTGTACTAGTTTAGCGTTGGTATTGTCAATTTATATATCAGCAAGGTAGTTTTTTCTATAGCATTTGTAATAATCATGTCAGAGAAGAAATCTTTAAAAGTTCACTTATTTATCGGTTCCATGCATTCTAGTATAATGTAGGCCTACAAGTTTACGAGAATTTGTGTGGATTTTATTCTTGCTAATTTCATGTGAAATTTGCATTTCTTCACTATGTCCGCATTGTGATATCTGTTAGATGTTCATTTTTTGACGAGATAACGTGATGACATCGTCTTCCCAGAAGTTACCAGTGCTCTGACCACTGGTAAAATTTACCATGGTAACTCCAGTGGCAAGTTGTTAGTGAATACCACCGCTGTCTGTTTACCATGGCAACTATCGTTACCACTGATTTTACCATCGTAAGTGCGTTAGTGAATCCGGACCCTGGTTGGCTAATGGCTTCTGGGTATTAGTCTAAAACGTCATATATATCATTAAGCGCTTTAAAACTACCAATAGCCACTAACGACACCATCCCACCTTAGTTCCTTACGTACTTATAACACTCCAACTAGGATCACTAACTACTAGCACAATGATCCGCAATTTTACCAAGCAAATGACACTGCTGCTACAATGATCTAGTGATTGTCGTTTTTAACAATGAAAGATAAGAAATAACAATGGGTCTCTAGCTGTCACAATGGCAGTAGAGAGAGAAAAAAGAGAAACATTGAACCAGGACCCCACAGTACGGCGCTGACCCAATTACACCAAAGGTACCCCAAGCTTTCCTGCCATCACGGGCGTGGTTCTGATGCAGCGACGCCCACGGGATGACGGATAGGTTTAATGGGTTTAATGGGTGCCGCCAGGTGAGCTTACCTGGAGAGGTTGAGTCGAGCTAGCCTCCGGGGATGGTAGCGCACCTCGAGTCTGCTCAACCCTGGGGGAGGAGATGCGGTGTGAGAGAAAAAATAAATCGACGCTTTATTTGTTCGAAGGTATTAAGAAAATCACTCATTTTTTCGTAGTTAATATTCTGATTTCCTTTTTCTTTTTTCAGTTTTTTTTTCTGTTTTCTTTTTTCAGTTTAACTTCTTTTTTCTTTTTTTCAGTTTAACTTTTCTTTTTTTTCAGTTTAACTTTTCTTTTTTTCTTTTTTTCAGTTTAACTTTTCTTTTATTCTTTCTTCCCCGTCTGCATTTTTAAAAATATATTTAGCTACTGCACACGTCATGATGAACAAGAGATTAACACAGGGGGGGGGGATTACAAATAGGTTAACGAGAATGATAAAATAAAGACGAGAGGCGAGAGTGACTGGCAAATACGACAGGTGCACATGGCGATAGGTGTAGCAGGTGAAGGTGATGCAGGGTGGCGGTGACACAGCACCTGTTACGGGGACACTCCCCGCGCCGCCGCACCTGCGCTGCGAACAGAGCCACGTTTTGGATCCTTACGTCTCGTGGGTGCAGCTTCAGACGCGCTCTCAGAAACGCACACACACACACACACACACACACGCATATATATGTATATGTATCGTAATAACTTCGTATAGCATACATTATACGAAGTTATACGAATATATATATATATAAATACATATATATATATATACATATACATATATATGCGTGTGTGTGTGTGTGTATGTATGTATATTTATATATTAATATATATACACAAACATGGACTCACAACTCTGTAGAAAGTTCCACCAAGACCGTTTTGCCACAAGAAACAATAGCGAGCCCCTGCATATGAAAGGCCAACAATGGACTGAAAATCTCTCGACCTGTTTTGCGCTCGGAAATACGCACTACTAATTTCCATACCTGGGCGGCCTTTAATTCACACATCTCGAAACACCTGAGAAAGGCATAGCAGGTAAGACGTTAATTGGCGTCTCCACATCCCCGGTGAATCGGGAGAGGAAACAATTATGGATGGAAGTGTGGACGTGAGGGGGGCGTGGGGAGGGGGGGGGGCGTGAGGGAGGGACGTGAGGGGGCGTGAGGGGTGTGTGAGGAGGGCGTGAGGGACCGTCTAAGCCTCCCTCATTGTCTAGGGCGGGGTGGGGCTGTCCTTTTAATGAGGGGCGAGTGTGAGGGCTGACGGAGGGATGTGAAGGTAGAGAGAGAAGGCTGAGGTAAGGAGAGGGAGGGAAAACTGGGGCAAAGTCAGGGAGGGAAGGCTGAGGTAAGAAGAGGGAGGGAAGGCTGAGGTAAGGAGAGGGAGGGAAGACTGGGGCAAAGTGAGGGAGGGAAGACTGGAAAGCCTAGAGTAAAGGACGTGTCACACTAGCACTTGTTCCGTCAATTTTTTGACAATTTTATTTAACATAAATACAAACATTCTCGAATATAGCTCTTGATCTGACTATACTTGGCTGAAAAAGTTGACGGAAAGGTTTTCAAACGGAAACGATAATTATCGTCTGACTGGAGAATCGACAGACAATTCGCTCAAAAATAGACAAAATTTCAGAAAATTGTAAAAAAAAAATTGACGGAAAAAGTGCTAGTGTGACGGCACCTTAAGGCGAAGAAAAGGAAGGCAGGGGGGAGGAGGGGGGACAAGCAGGGGAGGAGAAAGGGGTAGGATGGCGGAAAGAGAACACTGAGAGCAGGGGTAGGGGGGAGGGGGGTTAGCATGGAGCACTTCCTCTTGCATGAATCTTCTCGAACCTCATAACTGCGCTCCCTACCCCCCACGACTCATAAAAAATGGCTTCCAACACCGTTCCATTTTTATCATTGTTATTATTTTTTCATTTATTATTATTTTTTGAGGGAGAATAGAAGGAATATTTTTTATTTATCTTTTTTTCTTTGAGGGAGAATGGAAGGAAAAAAATGTCTCAAAGGATGAAAAAAAAAGACGAAGACCAGAACGACACGAATATACACCAAGACCGAAAAGAGAGAAAAAAACCCTACTCACGGTTATTACTAGCGATGAGGGAGACGAGAGATCCGGCGTGGAGGGTGAGGGAGGTGATGGCGTTGTTGGAGCAGGTGAGGTCGGTGAGGGAGCCCAGACATGAGACGTCCAGGCTGGTGATGCCGTTGTCGCTCACGTCCAGTTCAGTCACGTTCTGGCGGCGCAAAACACGGGTGAATTGGCGCCTCCTTGGGGTTTCTCCGTCACACACATACAGACATACGTGTATATAGAATACATAAATGCATACATATATATAGTAATATTTATATAATATGTATATCTATATACAATATATATATTTATTGGTAATTCTAGAGGAGATGGAATGCTCGTTTTTTCCTGTATTTCCCCCCCCCC